TTATAGGTTAGATATAGTTTTGTAGATATTATATCTATTGTTTAAGTAGTTTAGTTATTCTCTTAATTAGTAAATTATGCTTGTTAATAAGTAAGAAGATAACTGCTTTGACAGTACAAAGATCTTATAATTAGTTTTATAATTACAGTAATTATACAAGATTTTAAATTATTTTTTTAATATAATATTACAATTGATTATGAAAATGATAGTTTATATGCATTTTAAATTAGTATAATTACTATTTTTTTTAGTTTTGTTTATATTATAATAAAGTCTCAAGATGAATTTATTTTCATATATTTTTTTATTAGATTAGTAATAAAAATAAAGTCTTTGATAAAAAAATAATAATTGTTCATTCATACTATAATTATTTTTGTAATTATAATTCAGAGTATTGCAATCTGAGTTCTTAAAAACTCTGATTAAAATTTAAATAAAGTTAACAATATTGAATATATTCTTAAATATATTATAATTATATTTGAATTTATAATATTATATGTTTTTTACTTGATTTGATTTATTATAACTTGATAACATGATAATTATTTTCCTAACAATTAAAGTAAACTTTAAGAAATAATTGTTAGTAATAGTAATATTAATAAATTACTTACATATGAGTGATGAAAAGTGAAAACCTGTAAATTATTTCATATAATAAGTGAAATAATTTACAGGTTTCTTTTTTAGTTACTTATATGTATAATACTTAAAATTTAGATAACAAAACATTAAAAAATCTTTAGTAGTTTAATAATAAAATTTATTTAAATAATTAAATAAAAAATCTTAGGTTTTTTACATATGCAATATTAATTTATTTAAATAATTTAATAGAAAATCTTATAGTTTTTTTATATAAATAAATGTTTCTAAATAAAATAAGATTTTAAGCTTAGAATTTTTAAAGTTGATTTAATTATAAGTCAAGAGTCTGAAATCTAGTTTTCTTTTAAAAATACTTAAATACAACACAAAGATATCTTTTTTTATTTTTATATATTTTTTTATATAAACCCATGCTGTACTTAATAATTATATACAAATATTTTACTAACCAACATGACTTAGATATATTTCTTTATATTAGCTATATATTATACTTAATAATCATATGTAAACATTTAATTCAACATGGTTTCTTTGTATGAGTCACATACTATGCTTAATATTTAGAATATTTTTATTTATCAACATGACTTAGATACTTTTCTTTATATAAGTCACATGCTATGCCCAATATGTAACTATATGCAAATATTTCATTAACTAACATAGCTTGGATATATTTCTTTATATAAACCACATGTTGTGCTTAATAGTTATGCAAATATTTTTATTCATCAACATGACTTAAGTACAGTTCTTTATACAAGTCACATGCTGTGCTTGGTTCAGATATGTTTGCATGTATATTTTTTATATAAGTCATATGCATGCATGTGATTCTTAATCAACCTATACAATATTTCATTCTTCATAGTCTTATAGAATTTAAACTTGCAGAGAGCCTGAACTTCACCTTTCTTCAGAGGTTTGCTATTTGCCAGGGATTTCACCATTCACCAAAGGTTTTGGCATTCGCTGAGTTTCATCAGATTCATGTTTTGCTATTTGCAAAAAACAGTTTCACCTAACAACTATAATGCCTATACCACTATGTCAATCATATTAAACTTTATATAAGTCTAAAAATTTACAAAATGTGCCTTTTTAATATGAAACAGCCCATATGTATAAGCATCAATCATAACTATTTGCATCAAATATTTAAAATCTAGGTTGTTATTATATGATATCAATATATATTTATCAGTTATGATAATTACATACAAATTATCAATACTATCATAAAAAAGCAAAATTTATATTCAAGATCTAATCGAATATCTTTTTTTATGTTGGTTTCTCTATAATGTTTATAACTACTTGAAAGACTTCATAATCTGAGGTTGTAAATAAATGTGATTATAAATTTGGAGCAGCTTTTTTATTTTAAGTATTGAAGTATTGCTGCTATTGAAACATGTAATTCAGAGCCTTTACTAAAATTTGGACCATATTTACTACTATTATTATTAAGGTGTGATAATGTCTTTATAGTCTACTATAAAATGTTGGCAGTTTTTTGCACTTGTTGCTACCAATTTATTATACACAATCTTATATATAAATTGGTACACAGTTGGCATGGCTAGATTTATCAAATTCTGGATTATTAATTATTATTTGGGATCACTAAATTTTATCTTAAAAATAAACTCTTTCCATAATTGTTCATATCAGTTTATTTATCATAAAACTGTCTTTAAAACTTCATATTGAAATTAGGCAATATGGTAAGTCAGTTGCTCAACAATCCAAAACTTCATATTACCTACAGTTGGCTTAGTTGAAAAGAGGCATTTAGATTTGGTTAGTAGTTTGGGTCTGTAGGTAAGTATTTCTTCTGCTTGTACTGTGGTTTTCCCTTCTTGAGCTGTTTACTAACTTTAATTCTCAATCACCTTACTACCTCGAGTAATTGAACAACATCTACACCCTCAATTATTACACTTTCTCAGTTAGTTAGACTCAAGTGACCACAGCTGATCCTGATACTTTAGGATACAACAGCCAGATGGAGGTGTAACAATATTATGAATTAAAACAGATAAATTTCAAGAAGCAGGTTTTCATGGTCTGGAGACTTAGTGATTAGTTAATATGTTAAAGAAGACATTAGGGTGTTTGATCAACTGATTAAATCAAATCTATTTGTAGACCCATATCAGATTTTTATAGTAAATTTTTTTAAACAATATGATTGGCTAGTTTATTATGTAATAATTGCTTATATAATAATCACTTAAGAATGATAACAATAATAAAAAATAAACTTAATTTTGAAATATTTTGTTAAATGTAGCCAATGCATTTTGTATACCAAATTCCTTTTCCTTCTCTATGTGGGTTTTTTTTCTTTTTTATGAATATTAATGATCTTGTTTTTAATGTTTTCTTTTGTAAAATTTATTTCAGAAAGTCATAATATAGATTCTTTAAGATTTGGTAACATGTTAAAGTGAGTTTTCAGATTCAACTTGTTGAACATACCTTCAACTTGCTGCTAATGTATTATTATATAATAAATTTTAATTGTTACAAACTCATTAAGTAGAGGATAATCAAACAAGTTAGGATTAGATGCATTACAAAAATGATCAAATTGCTCACAAAAAACTAAATCTGAAATGAAGAGTGATCTCAACCCAAAGTCATTTAAATTATTATTTTTAATGTTATTTTCAAGTTGTTTAATATATATTATTTCTTTTCAGATGGCTGAAGAATTGTTGATAAAATTAAAATAACGTAATGGTAACTTCTTGCAAAAGAATGAGCAAAATTTTCTTCTAGTCCACAGACTGATAAAGGTAATTTAATTCATTGAAGCATCCATTTTTCAAAGTCAATTATTGCCTTTTTCATGCTCTTTTCTAATAAATCAAATATATTTCCAAATTCCGATTTACTTAATGATTCGAGTGCCTTAAATAATTCTTTAAAAAAAAATACATCAAAATTATTTGTAGCTTCTGTTAAAAAGTCCAACCATTCTAAAACTTTGTTAGGCATTTCGTGGGCATGTTGACCAGAAGGTAAAGTTATCCAGTTTTTGCTATTGAAAACCTGAGGTACAGTATCTTGGCCAATAAAAAATATCATTAAGGGAATAAAGAAGTGTTGTCCAAATTTCATTAAACATTTTACTTGAATATTAAGTTTTGTCTTATTAAGCCAAATATAAAAGAGATGCCAATCGTTCAAATAGGATGGTGCTATATTAGGATAATTTTCTAATATTTTAATAAACCATTTCACAAATTGAAGATGCGATTCTTTTCTCTCTAAATATTGTTCAGCAGTATGTAATTCATATCTCCAACGAGTTTGTAATGGCATTTGGTATTGTGAATAACAATGTTCAAGGAGAGATTTATACAAAGCCTGAATATAATTACTTTTTATATTCATTGGTGTGTTACTATTTTTATTCCCATAGCCATCATGAAGAGACCAAGCAAGATATAAAAGATTAAAAGAGTGTGGCTTTTTGGAAAAACCTAATATACAACCAAGGGCTTCATTTTCGAAATTTATAAAAACAATATTAATAATGTGTATTGCATACCCGATTCGAGTTGAATTGGAATTTAATAATTTATTAAATTTAACAATAGCTCTATTCAAATTTCCAGACATATATACAGTGTTGTCAGTAAGCCATGTTATGCATTTTTATGTATCAAGTTGATATTTTTGGCAAGTATCATAACTAAAGTTACAATAGTATCAGCATTACATTTTTTAGTAATTTTTAAATTAACTATACTTGCTACTAGATAATTTTGATCTTTATTTCAATATATGAAACAGATAACTAAATGTTTATCTTGACCATGAGTTGACTCATCTGCAGTAATACTGAATGAATTTGATTATTGAACATGTTTAGCAAATTCAGAAATTGCTAATTCTGAGATTTGCTTATGCCAAGTTGTAATTTGTTTTACTGAAAGCCAACCTTTTGGTGATACACTTGTTAAGAACTCATAAATTAATTTTGTACATTCCATAGTTGCATGCATTGAAACCTGACTGATTTGAGTTAATTTGGTTGTAAGTCAAATCATATCTGGAGAGTAGTGATGATCATTTGACTTAAAAAGAACCTTTACTTGTTTTTTAAACTCTTCTGATAATATTTGTTTAGACCTATGAACTAAGGAACATATTTCAGATATTTGGCAAGATATTTTTTGGTGAGTATAACAATTGTGAGATCCAAGAGATTTGGTTTTTATAAAAAGAACTTTATTTTTTTGTTTTAATTCTTTATTTTCTTTTTTTAAGGTAAGATATCTTATTTGGTGTTGATAAAAGGTGCTAAAAATTGGTTCAACTAACTGCCATTGTAAATATTGGAATATAAATTTTTTTTTTTTTCCTCACAGATATCTCATATTTTCTAGCAATTTTATTGCATTTTCTTTTTCATCATTACTTAAATCTTGAATAAGTTTGATTAGCTTTTCTTCTGGAATGTTATCAGCATCTTTATCAGAGCATTGGAGAGTATTTTCTACTCTCGTAATTTTTTTTGTCTTTTCATGATTAGCTGTTAGTTGTATCATTTAACGTTGTTTCTTTGGATATTTGGCATTTTAATTAAATGTGACGAATTTCTTTAATGCGAAGTTTATTTAAACTTATGAAATGTAATTTTTAAAAATAAATTATATTTTTTTTATTGATATTTATAACTATTTTGGCCTTGTCTTTATAAAAAGTGAATGATTTATAAACAATAATACTATGACATTTCGATGATAATTATATCATTTAAAGACAATCACAACACCTTTATATATCATAATAAATTGGTTCTTTTATTAATATTTATAAATGCTTTGATCTTTGTTACAAAAAGATAATGATGTTAATGCTAATTTAAAGTGATTGATATTGATTAGAGATGGCATTTTAAGGACAATTACAATGTGTTATAACAAATTGCTAATGAAAGATACAATATTGTGAGGCCCGATAACGTGACGTAAATACTCTGCTGGGACCTCACGTGAGACGAATACGACGATCAATTCCTCGAAATAGATATGCCGGCAATTAATCACATTAATGCGATTAATTAAATAAATCAAGGAAGTGGGATT